CCATTTCTGGCAATAGATCCTCCTCTATGTTACCTCTAACATCACTTGAATATTGTGTTTTTGCCAATCTCCAGTGGTTTAACTACCCATCTTGTACCACTGTCAATATGCTGTGACATCACTGGTGGGTGTGGTTACAGGTGCAAATGACCACGCCCATCAGGGATGCTGGTTGTGGTCAGAGTTCAAACAGACTTGAAACTCGCATCCAGAGAGGTCAGCCAAACACTCCATCCTTTTCTCTTTATATTAAAGAGAAAATACATAATACTCATAATCAGTTCGTTGATGTGAACCAGGCTGAGTATAGCTACGGTACAGTACAAAACACAGACAGCTTTGAAAAGTTGTTACTTCCAATAATATATGAAAAAAAAACAACTTAATATTGTGTGAACTACCAAATACAACAGTATTTAGTCCTTTGCGTATTTGTCCAAATAGCAATATAATATACAGTCAAAAATATTGACATCACTAAATAGACAAAAAGCAGTACCCTCTAAAAATCTAGATTCAAATCTGCATCACTCACAGTAGTGGAATACATGTGTCAGATTTGTATCAAATAAATGTGTAAACTAGTTCATGAGATCATTTTCATTTTTAAATATTGTAAAAATGCTCGATCTCACAATTGTAATGAGGAATCTAAATAGTTATTGGATTTGCATCAAAGTCAAATCAGTTTCTTCTTCAAGGCCTAATGGTCTACTGTAACAGAAACTGGATGTCAATGTCGGTAATAACTCCCAGATTGATTATCTGCTGATATACTTCCATTTAATTCAACTTTACTGTCATTTAACACAATGTGCAGGCACATACTGTATGTAAACAAAAAGGATTATAGAATTAAGACCAAGACATGTACTCAGCAAGACATTTTACAGTTGAAAAATAAACTGATTAAACTTTTTCTAATGCAACTCAAACATATCATTGGTATTTCTCTAATTACATTGTTTCTTACTTTTCTGCCGACATATACAGCGATTTGATATAAGAGAATTTAATAATACTCTAACAAATGTTATTAAAATATGGGAAAAAGCAGTTTTGCAAACCATTAAAGACCACACATACCAGAATGAAGAGAAGGAAACTACAGTGTTCATTGTCTTAATCCAAGAGCAACTTTAATATAAATGTTAAGGGCAAAATATGTTGCAGCACAACATGGCAAAGAAAGGCACATCCACTGTTTCCACAACACCTAAATGTGATTTCAATCTGGCTTAAAGCTTCATCTATCATAAGAAATAAACTAAGTGCTCCATACAAAACAAATTTAACCAATAGACAACAAGAACTGGCATATTTGTCTCTAAATATATTACAGCTTTTATATATATATATATATATATATTATATATATATATATATATATTATTATAATATATATTAATATATATATATATATATATATATATATATTTTATATATATATATAGCAATTATACAAATAAAAGAAAAAAAAAACTATATTAAATTTTTTTTAAATTCCCATTTCGAATTCACTTTAGTCAGTTTGCTTCATGATAAATATTATTACACAACCGCACACCACACACACACGCACACACGCACACACGCACGTCCTCTTCAACAGAACTGAAGAAAGAAGACAGAGACAGATAGTATTAAATTCATCAGATCATCATACAAACTTAAAATTAGACCTTTATTTTTTTAAAATGCTGAAAATATGCGAACCATTATTGTTAGCAAAACTATTTCAAATTGTTGAGTTGAGGTTGTGTAACTGTGCATCTCAATCTGTGTGTGCGCATGTCAGAGACATTGTAAATGTGTAAAATTAAATCTGAAATATGTACCGAGATTAGGTGAATGTGAACATGGAACTACAAATATGTTTTTACAATCCATGTGCCACGTAAGATTGCATATTTGCAAATGTGCTAAAAAAAAAAATCTACAAAACTGTATTCAGATTTGCAAATCTATAGAGATTTTAAATGTGGAGACTTACTACGATGTGTACGAATTGCCAACCGATTTTATTATGCCGATTTAGTTACAACACCAACTAGTAATTGAACAACGGTATTTTTTTTTGCATGTTAGGTTAAAACTATTTAACCGCCAAACATTAAACTTTCCATCTATCCATATCAGAAACAAAACTGAAAAACATTTTAATAAAACTTTTTTTTTATTCCACAGAGAATGTTTTCTCCCAGAACTGATCTTCTTAAAATCAACAACCTCGGAGATACAAGTTTATCACAACAGCAATGGTAGATGTGTTTGTGGAAAGCTGTTATTTAAAGCTGGAAGCAAACTTAAGATTAATGATGCCATTTTTTAATCTTCATGTAGATGTTTGTCATTTATGAAGAATTTCTTAAAAACCCAGTTCTTTTCAATTATGCATCTCTTGGATAGTTTTTATCTGTAGTGTTTGCAATGATGCAGAGCTTCCTGGAGTTTATAAGAGGTCAGAAGTTGTAAATTAACAGATTTATTTCTGGTTTAAAATGTTAGAGCCTCACCACCAATTTTCAGATTCTCAAATGCTGAAACACAACAACAACACACAAACACACAACACACACACACACAGAGAGAGACCATCAGTTCTCAAATTGTCGTTCACCTTGACTAGAGGCCAGGAGCTCATAAAAAATCCGCCCATCACACTGATATAAGGAAAAAAACGTAAGAGAGCAGGAGCACGAATAAATGAAGGGACGGAAGACAAATTACGAAGCAGAAGTAGGGAAGGAAGGGAACATAATAAAATAAAACTTGGAAGAGGGAATCGAAAGACATAGGTATGGGGGTCACGGAGAGATGATAAAAGGCACAGATGGGAGGCTAATATGGAGATGATAAACAAAGGAGGGAGTATCAACAGAGGGGAGAGAGGAACAGGCAAGACTAAAAACCATAAAAAAATAAAAACATGTGAGTGATAGCAAAAAAAGGACAAAAAAAGGAGAAAATTAAATCATAGAAAAGTAAGAATAGATAAAGAAAGAAATATTACACAATGTCAAGATTCTTGGGAACATGAAAAAAGACCGTAAGAGGAGAGGAGGTAAAAAATTAAGTAAAGGGAACAGCGCTGAAGACTGAGTGGGATATGATATGGATAAGAGGGCCAGAAGATCCAGTCTCTTGATAGGACTTTATTTAGGCCCAACATCTTGTGGTGAGAGGCGAGCTACATATTACTGAACGATAATCAAATACACTTCAACCATATTACCTTATTTACAGACTGAGAGAGGAAAACACAACGATACCATGTCGTTAGTGATATTAGTACCTTTTAGTGAGATCTAACTAAATATAATCGATGCACGTTCACCCAATACAATGCAAACCAGCAGATCATGCATTCTGTGTTTACTTAATAACTTGTTTATCGCAATTTTATTATTTGACTTATTAGATATTTTATTATTATATTTACCATGTTAACGTTTAGTACTGGAAACATTTATATGGTCTACATCTTAGAATTACTGAATTAAAAACAAATCACCGTTCTTAATCACATCTAAGTGATTTTATTCCTATTACCTACATCGACATCAGTATGCCGCAGCATAGATATACACAACAACAAAAGAAGGTGGTCATAGGAGTACCTCAAATCAGCAACTGCGGTCTGCACCCTAACAAAAATTAAAAATACATATCTCACCACACACACACAACCCACAACACACACACCACACATCTACACACAACAACCAACACAACACCACACACCAACACACACACACATCAAACACATCAATGCAAACAACCACAAAAAAAGGTAGAAAAAATGAGAAACAAGAATAATAACAAGACAAAATTTTTCAATCAATAACTGTCAGTATCCCATAACCATGAAAAACATAGAAGATTATAGCAGAATGTCGCATTAACTTAAAATCTCTACATGCATAATCAGCCAAAAAGTCCGCAT